GCACTATTCCACATCATAACTTTATTTCATTTTTATAACTATTATTATTTTTGTATTGCTCATGCTCTTATTGTTATTATGTTATGTTATTATGTTGCATTGTTGGAGAAGCCTGTGACATAAGATTTTCAACTGCATAATTACTCTGTAGCTATGTCAGATTGACAATAAAGAACCTTGAACCTTGAACCTTGAAATGTCTTTTTAGTCCAAAACACAAAGATATTCATATTTAAAATGATATGCAATAAATCTATTTATTGCATATCTGCTATCTATTCCTGAAAAATTGCTAGTTTTATCGATCACCAAAATAGTTATGTTTTTCTGACAATTGACTATAAACAAAAAAATAAGTATTTTGTATTTATTTTGTAGAGTAATTATAACAACTACCAACAGAAAAGCAATCTGTTATTCTTTGAGTGAAGAAAAGAGATGACATAGGCTTATCTTAATGGCATAATAATTTCCATTTCTGTAAAGCACTTTGAATTGCCTTGTGTTGAAAGGTGCTATATATAAACTTGCCTTGCCTAAGAAATCAAAAAGCAAAGCGTGTTTTTACGAGCTCTCCTAAATTACAGATTTCCTCTCACATCTTTAGTGAAAAATGAACATTGGCAATACGTACTGTTTGTCAGTGGGATGAAATGTCCTATGCGTTGTTCATGAGTGGGATAATTTGCACCGTGCATCATATGTACATACTGTGTGTGAGTGAGATACACACTAAGTCACTTGTTTGTCATCCAGCTTCAGTCTCTGAAAGCTCAGACTCTCTGTCATGATCTCAAAAAACAAAGAGCTCTTCTTTGAAGGAAAGGAAGTAGACGGAGACAGACTGAGAGTGTGTCGTCACAGTTAACCCTGAGACTCTGAGGCTCAGCCTTTCATCCCACCACTCTCTACCTCCTCTAGCTGCTCACTCTCTGCTTCCTGTCTCTCTCTCATTCTCATTTTCACTGTCTTCCTTTAGCTCAATCTGTTCGGGTGTGGGCACAAAGCATTATCTCTCTTAATTGCCATAGCCAGCCAAGAAAACACACACACACACACACACAACTGAAACAATGCAGAAACAAACACACAATGGAGATGGAGACGAAGAAAGAAATACCAGGGATTAATGATCTGATGATATTTATAACTCAGAATTAGGGCTGGGTAATGTTCCATACTAGAATTTCAAAACCAACAAATAATACATTTTGAATGCCTCGCTGAGAGCAGAAGAAACTTTCCTTTTTCTTTGAACAAACTTAGGCAGAGTTCTGCAACGTTGAAAGTTTAAACACAAGCAGCAGTAACTTCGTATATGCTCAGTTGCAAGTTCATTAAGTCTACATAGCTAGACTTTTTGTTACCATTTTCTCGTGAAACAAAAACCCCCTACCAATACTATAGCAATGCAAAAACCTCTACCCATGTGGAGTACGATATGTCACACTCGGAGTGCAGAAATATAGTAAAACATTCATAAATAACTGGCCATTGTTTTCTAGCTGGAGCTACATTTCTACTAGCCACTTTGAATATTTAACCAGCATTTGGAAAGAACATCACACACAAACACACAGACGGTAAACAAGACAACAGCAAATACTTTCCCTAAACACACATGTTCCCTCTCATGAACACACACACACTGCATGGTGGCCGGCAGTCAGACTGAGGGAGGATTTATTCTTGTTCATATACAGAACATCCTGCTGTTCATTCCCGCACAGTCAGAGCAACGGTGAAGACTCAGACTAATCCCCCTGTGATCAGAGGAGATGAAGACAGCTAAAATGAAGCGCTGCAGGAGGGACTAAAGGGTCTGCAGGGGATTGTACATCAGGGAGAGAGGAGAGGAGAGGAGAGGAGAGGAGAGGGAGAGGAGAGGAGAGGAGAGGAGAGGAGAGGAGAGGAGAGGAGAGGAGAGGAGAGGAGAGGGGTTATTGAGTTTAAGAGGCAGAAATGACAAGAGTCACATGGAAGAACAGAGAGAAAACAGAGACAAAGAACATTTAAGCGAGTAGATGACGAGATCAAAGACATGATATGTTTCATTAAGGACAGAAAATGAAGAGAATAGAGAAAGTGGATGAGAGAGAGAGTGGTGAAGAGGAAGAAAAGAGGAAGAAGAGCAAAGACTTGTGCCAAGCAGACAGCGCTGCCCACTGTTGGCGCTCTGCTACACAATCACTCCCTGGACACTGATAATAATACCTTCACTTCATAATGCTATCTCTGGCACACAGGCTACTGGCCAAGCGCACACATGCTTTCCAGTGTGTGTGTGTGTGTGTGTGCGTGTGTGCGTGTGTGCGTGTGTGCGTGTGTGCGTGGTGGTGT